TATTTCACATGTCTCATACAAGCTAGTTATAATAGAACATCAAATTGATTCTCAGATGTTATATATTTCACATGTCTCATACAAGCTAGTTATCATAGAACATCAAATTGATTCTCAGATGTTATATATTTCACATGTCTCATACAAGCCAGTTATCATAAAACACCGAATTGATTCTCAGACGTTTAATATTTCAAATGTGTCTAGTAATCATAAAACACCAGCCATGTTTCTGGTAATGAGTTTAATTGAATTTTGACCGTAATTGTAAAAACTATGTTCGTCTATACTGCTGTTGTCGCCGATAAACGATTTATTTCAAGTTGGACCTAGCATTTCAGTTGTAAACATTGTCTTCACGTCCACTTAATGATGCTGTTTTACGATTTCTCCCAAGTTGGCCCTACCATTCCAATTGTAAACACAGTCTACACGTCCACTTAATGATGTTGTTTTACGATTTCTTCCAAATTTGACCTACCATATCAATTGTAAACATTGTCTTGATGTGCACTTAATGGTGGTGTTTTACAATATTTTTCCGAGTTGGACCTAGCATTTCAGTTGTGTTGTTTTACGATTTTTTCCAAGTTTGACCTAACGCTCCGCACATAAATACTATGTTCATATGTACTGTTTTCTTTTAAGGTGTCTCTAAAGTTTGGCCTATTTTATCGTCTTTGTATTTGTTACAAAAGTCTCCAAACTATGGTGAAGATTTTATGTCAGTTTAAAATTGTTGTGTTTTTTTCTTCTTCCATTTCAAAGGAATTTAGTGTTTCATAATGCTTTACTTATAATGAAATCAAACATTAATAAAACAATGTTTTCACAGCATTTGAAATCTAGCGTCTCTATCAGAAATTTATTGTAAGTAGTCATCCTACTTAATGTGGTTAAGTTTAGAATATCTTGTATATATTAACCAATGGAGAAGAAGTAGTAGAGCGAGTAGCAGAAATTCGCGATAGCATTAAACACGACCTCTACAGGGGAATTGTATACTAAAATTGAATATAAGATTATTTAACCTGGTAAGTTTATATATATATATATATATATTTGCACAACCGGCTAGGCTGCTGTAAAATAGTAAAATAATAATAATAAGAGCTATTTCTAATGTGGATGACATGTTTGTAAACACCTTGATTAATAAAGTTTAATAGTTTTTCACTGAATACAATTAAAATGTCAATTTTCTTTTTTTTTTTTTTTGGAATTAAGGTAGATTCATATTTGAAATCTTTATAGTATGAAAAGAATCTACTTACATTTTACAATAGTAAAGTCATAAAATACTCCAAAATATATTTATATTAACTTTAACGTCATGAAAGTACTTTTTTGAAGAAACTATAATTTTGGAATCAAAATATGCGCATTATAATTTTCTTCCTATAGTTCTGTGTTTCATAATAAAATATTATGTACTTATTTTGAAGTAAATCATATTTTTGGACTAAAATGATTTATTAAACATAAATTGTGGCATCAACTAGAAATACGTATATGTGTCTTAGAAAGGTATTTAAACTGCATAGGTGTACATATATTTTGAAACTGGTGTCTTACAGTTCTCCCTCTGTGGATCACCCGCAAGTTTGCGGACCGACAGTGTCAAAATCCGAGGTTCGTTTCCTTGCGGCGGACAGAGCGCTGATAGCCCAGTGTGTAGCATTGAAAAAATCTTCACACTCGATTATATACATATTATACACAAGTTATTATATTCACTCCTCACTTTAGGGCTGTGGGTGCGCTATAAGAATGTTTGTTTTGTTTGTTTTGAATTTCGCGCAAAGCTACACGAGGGCTATCTGCGCTAGCCGTCCCTAATTTAGCATTGTAAGACTAGAGGGAAGGCAACTAGTCATCACCACCCACCGCCAACTCTTGGGCTACTCTTTTACCAACGAATAGTGGGATTGACCGTCACATTATAACGCCCCCACGACTGAAAGGACGAGCATGTTCGGTGTGACGGGGATTCGAACCCGCGACCCGCAGATTGGGAGTCGAGCTCCCTAACCACCTAGCCATCAGGAGTTTGTTACATTATTTTAAAGCAGTTTATTCACGTGGTGTCTAAATTTCATATATATTTGATAATAATATGGTTAATCAAGGCTCGCGACTTGACGTTTGTTTTGGTAGAGCTTTCCTCTGTAAAATACACCTAAAATATATTTTTGGTAGTTTTGGGATGTTAATCATACGCTTGTTGATGACCTTGAACATTTTTTAATTTTTTTTCTTTCAACGACTTGTTTGTTGATTCGACGATCCCTATTTGATTTTTTTATATATTCCGGATAACAAAGCAGTAGTATTGCTAGGTGTCTCCATGCTTGTGTTATTAAAGCTATTACCCATTATTTTACAGCTTCTGGACAACAATTAACGTATTGTTGCGTCATCGAGGTCACGTGACTGGTGTGGCGCCCTCTAGTTTCTAGAACTATCTTGTTCTTTCAGGAATGCTCTAGTATTTACCAGATGGGGTAGGCGGGTATATATAAGAGGGGGACAACGTGACGCGGGAAGGTAATGTGTGTATAGACAGTGAGTAATTGAACTGCAGTCAGAGAGCACGAGAGACGTTACAGCGTTTGTTTAGCGCGATTGTTGAAGTTGAGTGTATCGGTAAAGTCATATTCGGAAAGAATAAACCAGTTTTATTAAGAAAGGACTTGTGTCGTTAAAGTTTCGTCGGAACGAAGTTACGGAAAGTTAATTAACAAACGGAGACGTAACAGTATTATTTTCTAGATGTCTTTCATAGATCTCCCAACAGTTTGTTGTTCTTTGTTTATATTATACTAGCGAAAGTACCCTGTTTCGCACAGGTTTTTAGGTTGATAAATTTTAGCAAGTGCATAAAATTTATCATGAAAATAAAAATATCGATCCAATTTTAAAATTAAATCGTTTCTGAATTAAGGTATGTTCTGTTATATCACCAACGTTTTAAATAAAAAACAAAACTTTTTAATCAACGGGGACTCTATTTTTTCCAATTTTGTAGTATACATTTCATTTTATACTTTCAGCACATACACTAACAACAATATTAGATTATACTCTTATTGCTAAGCAACATGAGATAAAAGCCATTGTTGGAACGCATTGTTACCAAAACACACTGGCTTTTCTATATATTACAAGTTGTTATATGAGGAACCACATTTTTCCATGGGTTTTTCGCTAGCATGCCTCATTAAAAAGATGCGCATGCGCGCACGCATGTGGATAAGATAAGTAATAATATCCAGGTATATACCCTCAGGGTCCACGTAGCATGTGTGCAAAATTTCAGGTTTTTAGGTTATTTCCTCTTGGAGCTATAGCGATCACATTTCGTTTCTATGTGGTTTTTCGCATAAAAAGATGCGCATACGCGAACGAACGTAGATAAGTAATAATAACCAGGTGCAAACTCCCAGGGTCAACTTAGTATGGGTACAAAATTTAAGGTTTCTAGGTTCTTTCCTCTTGGAGCTATGGTGGTCACACAGACACGAACATGTGCGTGTGTGTGTCTGTCTGTAATGTCTATTTTTAATATAAGGAACCACTTCTTTTCTATGGGATTTTTCGCTTGCTTGCCTCACCAAAAAGAGGCGC